CTACCTCACTAAGTTGCTAAGTTACTCAGGCTGGTTTTGAAGTAGGAATCCTCCTGCCTCGGCCTCCCAAAGTGCTGGGATTACAGGCATACACCACCACATCCGCCATAGCATCTCTTTGAGCTCCAGCTTTCTCAGTTGCAAAAGGGGAACTGTGGTACCAATGGGATGGGAATGGTGAAGGCAGAACCCTTCAGCTGGGGAATGCTGCTGCTGCTGCCAGGCCAGGCCGCGGTACAGGCGCCCCCGCCTGCCCACCTGCCAGCCCTGTTCTTCCGTCTGCTCCGGTCTCACCTCTCGGATCAACTGCTTCTCGGCCTCCATGTCCTGCTGGACCACAAGGCTGGACAACATCGTCTCCTCAACCTGGGCAGGGCTCAGGGGCAGCTGGCCAGACAGCAGGGCTGAGGAAGAAACGGAGGATGAGGAGCCGAAACCAAGGCACACACAGCTTGCAGGAACTGAACAGAAATCTCTGAAAGACAACTCCACCGTCACTGGGGAAAGATGCGCCTCTGCGTAAAATGCTGAGACACTCAGTCACCCGACACATCTGTACGGACCGCCCAGATGTTTTGGGCAGTGGGACTGCAGCATTGAACCAAATTTGACAAGAAGAGGAGGGAGCTGTAGAGGCCGCTCAGAAGTAAGAACCACAAGGGCCAGGGATTTAGCTAAGTGGTTCTGCCACCTGCCTCACAAGTGCAAGGACCCGAGTTTGATCCCCGGTATTAAAAAAAAAAAAAGAAAAGAAGTAAGAACCACAAGGAAGGTTGCACTTGAACACTGTGACCAGACAAGAACTTTAGTAGGGAGAGAGAACAGCAAGCATCAGAAGGAGTGAGGCCCTGGGCCAGGAATGAGCCTGTACTAGTGCAGTAAGCACAGAAGAGGTTAGAGATGAACGAGGCCAGCTCCCGGGGGCCTAGAGGACACCATGAGGACTTTCGGGCTTTGGTCCGGGTTAAACAGCACCCCTGGAGGTGTTCGGTGTAGCGAAGGGATTGCAGCTCAGAAGGCTCTCCCTGATGCTGTGTGGAGGACAGGGAGACCTGTGGCCAGGAGACCTGATCGGGGCTGTGCCGAGGCTCAGGGCAGAAGCCAGTCTCAGGCCAGCAGGCAGCCTCTTGGCCTCGAGGGATTCTAGATGGAGACCGCAGGGTCTGTGCACAGCCTGGAGGTGGACTGGAGAGAAGTGAGAAGCCCAGGGTGAGCCGGGGTCTCTGCTTGGAGACCTGGAGGACTAAGTTGCCATCAGCTGGGTAGGGACAGCTGCAGACCTGCAGCTGTGGGGTCCAGCAGGGCTCCACATGGAATGGGGGACTCTGAAATGCTTATCTGATGGCAGCAGAGTCAAGTCTGGGATTCAGAGAACACAGTGTATTACGTTATCCCAAAGTCTGCTGTATTTTCGATGTCCTGACATCTTGGGGGACCCACTGGCCAGGGTGACTGCCCTCCCAGCGCTGGCCAATTCCTGAGGTAGCTTGCAATGTGCCAGTCAATGGATCCTGCGCCCACAGCCAACACGTCCCTTAACCCACACACGCGGCCGGGGTTTCCGTGTCCTCCACACACCTCACCTGCAGGTGCCAGGCAACTAAGCCCCTGGTCCTTAGAGGCCACCAAAGTGCTACGCCTCTGCCTGGCAGCCCTGGGAGTCAGGGAGGGCAGGACTCCCGGTAGGGGGACACAGGAGGAAAGGGGGACAGAGCCATCGGTAGCAGGGTCCAGAGCACGGGAAGGCAGGGGAAGACGGCCTCCTGGAGGGCA